AGAAAATTTTCTTTTAAATATAGCCGTGGGGGACCACAGGTCAGTTTTGGTCAGGAAAAATTTTTGGGCGAAACATATATGGTTGGATGCAGTTTTTCACGCTGATTCCGAATATTATATTTGTTTTCTTCTAGTAGTATTCTATGACAAAAAAGATCGCTAAAAATGTTTATTTTTCTTTGAAAAACCATCAAAAATCATGAAAAATTGGATAGTATAAACCGTTTTTCGCATCAAGCGGGAATTTTTTTTTCAAATATTTTTTTCCCATTTTGTAGAGAATAAAAAGCTGCACAACATATATAAAATTCAGTCTGGGGTCTCTGAATTCTGAAGCACAACACGAATTATACTGTTTATTTGGACTGTTCAAAAATACCACCCCTTGACTCATATTTGCTCTATAAAACTTAAATTGTTAGCCATTATATTATATCAATGTAGCTCATCTTATGCAGTTTTCAATTCTCTATCTTGTCATATATACCACGAAAAATTTCAATGATTTGCTGAAACGGAAGCCAGTACATCTTTTATAGAATATTTTTTCTTATTTTTTTACAAAAAGCCTCGATAGTGCCAAAAGTTGATATTGACTAACTTTTCATAGGAAGGGTATTAGAACATAAAATTTTAGGGTTAGTAGTTTTAGACATTGAAGTTTCGAATGAGCAAAAAAAATCGAAAAAAAAAATTTTATCGAGTGCCTCGTATATTGGAACGATCCTCGATCGTCTCATGGACCCTCTCTTAAATATCTCACAAATAATACATTCATTTAGGCTGAAATTTCAAATTGAAATCCCATACTTCAATTTGTTCACTAATATCGTGCCAGAAATAAAAGATTCCATAAAACTCTAAATAATCTAAGAATGACAGTACATGTGAAGAAACCTTTATATGCTTCTATTAGACTTGCCGAGGCCTACTTATGAACAAAATATCAGTTCGATTAGCAAATCACATTTATGGACGTTCTCTCGTGAATCATTTTAAATCATTTCAGTAGGTCAAACTTTACAAGACTCAAAAATATTGCCCTCCATTTCTTACCATCAAGTATCTATAGTGAAGAAATTTACACAGCAATACCTTTTTCATTTTGAATTAGTCTCATCAAATAGAGCATTCAACTCAGCTCCAATTACTATAAGAAAAAATTTACTAGTGCTTTCTATTCATTCCTTCATTGCAAGTCAGTAGTGTCTTTACCTAAAAATTGGTTGTATTCATTGGCTTGTTGACAAATAGAAATTCAGAGGATTCGGTTGAAAAAAATCTTTATATAGCAGTCGATAGCACCTTTGAAAAACGACAACATCATAAATCTTTCATACTTAATAAATATTGGCTACCTGACAAGTTCAAAGCACACGATTCTTTATGTTTGATTTAGTGCTTTTTCTGACTGGTATTTATTATATATTTAATCAAAAACTTACAATTAGAGCAAAAACTAATCGCTAGCTTAGAATAACCATCGAACATTGAGTCGACTTATATGCATTTCAAATGTTTTTCTGAACTTTTTCTTTCGTCGAAAAAGTCGCCTGATGGATAAGTATCGGGTTTCAGTTAAAAAACGGAACTCCGCCGTGAAGCATCTTTTATTATTTAGTCATCTGTCACTTTAAATTTTAACAACATGTCATAAACTTTAATCTTCATTTCAATCATCTGAGCAGCTTTTTGATAAATTTGTATTTCTAATTGAACCATGATGCGTATCCTCAGAAGAATTCTTTTTTCAACAAAAAAAAAAACGTTCGAAATGCATATAAATGAACTCAGTATTCGATACTGATTTCAAATTTGTCATTAGTTTTGGTGGTAATGGCAACGTTTTAATTAAAATCCTACTACATAACAGTAAAAAAAAGCCAAATCATGCACTCGGAGAAGTGTGCTTCCAACTTTTCAGGTAGCTTATATTTGTTGACTTTGAGAAATAAATGATCTGTAACCTTTAAAAAGTACTATTGATTTCTATATAGAGATCTACTTCAACAAAATCCTCTGAATTTCTCCTTAATCAACAAGACAAGAGATACAAGCAAATTTTCAAAAAAAAGGTACTGCTGACTGGCTATTAAATAATGAACAGCAGGCACTAGTAAAAGTTTTTCAATAGGCTTATTCTTACAGTAATTAGTTCAAAGTGGAATGCTCTATCCGGCAAGACTAATGGGAAATGAAACTAATATTATTGTATAAAATGATTAACCAAATACCTGCCGATATCGACCATATTAAATGAAAGGTAGTAACCTCTGATTCTGGTAACCTTTGACCTACGGAACCAATTTGAAATAATTATCCAACGACTCACCTTAATACGCTTTTTTGCATCATACATGAATTCTAATAATCCACGAATGATTAGATTTGAGATTCTATGCGGTCCAATTCTTTCTTATTTTTAAACAAAATATCACTAGTGTCAATTAATTTTTGAAGAAAAACAAGATAAAATACAAAGAATGGAAGTGTCTCGTTGTTAGCATATAAAAGGAAAAGAAAATGCTTGAGTCAGTAATTTTTTGAAGACTTATTATCTCGTCCGTCTGAAATAGCAAAAAAAGTACATGACAACTCTTAAAGGAAAATACTTTGTCTTTCTTCTCACCATCTTCGAAGACCTTTTAAGCGTAAAAAACAGAATAGAAAAAGGAAAAATACTCTTTAGTCAAGTTAACTGAGATAGATGACGGTAGATGTTGATCACATCAAAAATAGAACATTTTTATTCGTTCGTTCGATCAAGCTTACTATCATACGTCAGAACATTCACAACTTCATCAATGATAAAATTTATCGTCATAACTTGATGAGGGTATTGTTATTCATTCATATTAATATCAACTGATTTATGATTAATGTTTAGTTTGTCATTTAAAATATGAAGAACATATTGTAAAAATATATTTATAAACATACTTTACTTTATTAATTTACAATCAATAGTTGTCAAAGTTTTTTATTTAGTTGAATTAAAATGACGCAGACAGCAGAAAAATATGACCAGAGTGCAATTGTAAAATATCAGACAAAGTATGTTTATTGTTTTGTTGTTACGTTTATTATATTAGTTTTTGGATTAATCTTATCAAAAGTGTAACTAGAAACTATTAGCAAATATTTCCTGCTTGATTGCGATTGAGACATATTCAGAGTATTTCTGAGAACATCGCATTTTATGAATTTCTTTTACTCATTCAATTAAAACTTCATTACAGATAACAATACATGATGAGAATTTACTGTAAGGTTAGATTCAAACAAAATAACTTTATATAATTCATCCTGAACAAGATGACGAAATCAGAGACGGAATCGATTAGAGTTTTCAATGATAAATATTGATAAAATGTTAGATCTCAAAGTTTTATCACTAACTAATAGTTTACTACTGACAACAATTAATCACGATGAAATGAAATGACCTACACCGATCAATCAACATTTTACTAATTTCATATTTAAATAAGACAAGACTGTTCGAATCCTATCTGGAGCTCTGATTTATGTTGTATAACAACAAAAGACGTATTTCAAACAAACATATCTTTAGAAAGACAAGAAAATATTTCATTACAAAAAAAGTTGAGTTATTATTCATATTAATCGGTATTTAACTAATATTTGTATTTTAAGATATCTTCACTAATTTGTTGAATTATAAAATAACTTTATGTTTGATCATATCGAAATTTCTCTTTTTTTAGATAATGTTATTTTTATTATTATTATTTTAGTAGTTGACTTTTTTCCCCTATATACATATACAATTTAAAATGAGCCATGAAAAAGTGAAATTATATCATGAAAAACAAAGATTGCAACTATGTGGTTTACATTCGTTAAATAGTCTTTTTCAAAGAAAACTTTTTAATAAAGAAACACTTGATTCAATTGTACATGAATATGATAAATCATTATTTTGGAATGAATACTCAACATTTTACACTGGTAATTATGATTTAAGAATTATTGTTGAAGCATTAAAACTTCAAGGCTATATAATACGTATTATTGATAGTACAGAGTCTTTTGAGACAATTAATTTTAAAGATTGTTTTGGTTTATTATTAAATATATCTGTTGAAAGACCATTTTTTGATCGTTTACCTGTAGTACGTTCATTGACAAAACCTGGTCGTCATTGGTTAACTATAAAAAGTATTGATGGAGAACATTATTATAATTTCGATTCAAAATTATCACAACCAAAATTAATTGGTAATCAAACAGATTTAATAGAATATTTAAATACATTTGATCGTGCAGAAACTCATATATTTATTGTTATTGAAGAAGGATTAGTGGACAAATTTGAACAGAAATAGAAAAAGTTATAAAATTGTCCTTGTTGTTTTTTTTTTTTTTCATTTTGCATTTCTCTATCGAATCGAACTGCGATCAGCAACTGTATTGATGCACATTCTTCTATATAATAAATCGAGATATGTATAAAGTCAATATATAAACAATTTCTTTAATAGTAATGCAAGCTTATCGAATAGCTATTCATGTTTTTACGAGCAATCACAGTGTGTTTTGATTCTTTTTGGTATTGTTTAGTGTTATTCTATTAGGAAATAATGAAACATTAGAGTGTATCATTCATATTCTTGAAATGAAAAACTACACTAAACTCTTTCTGCTTTCTTGAATAGTCAAGTAGCGATCTACAATATTGTTTATTATGGTTACTGTCAAATTTTTCAAATAATTAGGATATTGAATTTAAATAAAGCAAATTTTGGACTATAATCTAATCTTCGATTTATCAAATCAATTCAACATTATTGTAGATGTACACTTAACAATACTTGAACAATCTCATAGCTTCAAATTTTGAATTGTTAATATTGAGATTGAAGAAATGTTTTTTTTTTAACATTATTTTAATTTGTTTACTCTGCAATTTGTATAAATATATGGATATAGTCATGATGTTCAATCTCAAAATGGTTACCTTTGACGTATCTCGATTATGATTGTAGTCTAACAAAGTTTTTTTCTATCTTTCGTGATACAAAATGATGACCTTAAGGTGCAATTAATTGTTCATTATTGTGTGATAATAAAAAGAAACTATGACTATAAATATAGCGGTGGAGTAATTATTTAGTAAAAGTATTCAGCTAATTACATTTTACATTCTATTTCCGTACTATTAGAAAAACAAGTTTTTAGTATGTTGATAATTTTATAGCGATCAAATAATTAATTGTAGCATAAAGACTATAATGTACAGGACAGTACTAGAAAAATTCGTCACATGATATATTAGTCTTAAAGTATCCTAAAGGAGTATTGAAAGTGGATGGTAGATGGTATACAGAAGATTCTCATTCACACCGACGACGAATTGTCTGGTAATCGTGCAGGACGATGTATTTTTGATTCCTGGTCTAACGTTAGAAGGACAGCATAGTACTCAGTAAGATGATGTAACGCTTGGCAAGATGACACTGTGATTAGCAGAACGACGTAACTGTTCAGCTGAAGAACATAGTGCTCAGTAGTTTATTTTCATTCCATGGGAAGTACCGTGATTTTATTGGGATAATTCTTACTTGTATGCAATACTTGTCAATGTAAAAAAGCGTTATCTGAATAGAACTAGCAAGTGATTAATGTTTGATCTACTTTAATGAATCAATAATTTCATAAATGTTGTCAATTTTTTCGACTTTTTTATTATGTATAAATTCACTTTTTTTAAAAACTTTCTTCTCTTTTATTGAATAGAAAGTAAAACACTATGTATAAGTTATAAGCGTAACACTAAAACATATAAAAACAAAAAAGATGTCTGTCGAAATAATGACAACATAGAGAGTCAAAAAAGTATCTGAATAGTTATCAGTTATTTCTTTGTATTTTTTGTTTATCAAGAGTACAAATATAAAAATTATTCTTGCAACAGGAAACAATTATATTCTCCTTTCAGCATTTGATAACCTTGAATTTGTACGATATTCTCTATGGAATCAACCATTGAGCCGTTCGTTTTATAAGAAAATATTTCTACTCTATCATTCTAGCTTAAATCGACTGATACTAAAAAAATCTAGTTAGAAGTCTGAATACTTTTTTGACTACCTATAATTAAGCAAAAAATAATAAGTTCTATGTACAGATAAGATGTGTAAGATCTCGACGATATATACACATAAAATATTTTCTTGATGATTAAGATCTTGGTATGTCACTCTAAAATACTGTACAAAGTTCGATAGAATTCCATTCATCACTTTATTAAATACAAATATTTATTCATACTCGTTCACCACTGATATTCGAGATATCTATGAAATTTTTTCGGTAATCTAACCATTGATGAAACACCCAATGGCTCCAACTGATGAATTTCAACCTTAAAAAATTCCTATATCACTTGTCGTCTACTAATACAGTATTTTATCTCTCAATATATGCAATTTGCTGAACAGAACCCTATAACTATAGTGGGATATTGACTCTTATTGTTTAGGACAAAGTCATCCTACTGATCACTATGCCATCTTGCTAGTAGAACTCTTGAACTGTAGTTTCATCTAAATGCTAATTGTTGAGTACTACATCGTCTAACGGAGCAGAATGTAATTTTGCTGAGCATTACATCTTGCTGAAAAAGCATACTGCTCAGCATTACGCAATATCAAAACTAATTTAAAAAAGAAAATCATTTTTTTATAGGAGTCGATCAGGTTAATTTAAGTTCGAGCCAAAAAATTCCTTGATCCGATCTTTCGTTTGTATTATTTCAATATGGACATTTAAAAGAGATATTTCTATATGATAAAAATCCTATATTCATCATCAATATGATTTGACTAAGCAGCTGCTGCTTCACCAGTCAGCTGTCGATATCTTTTTATTTCAAAGATGCTGCAAGATTATCAAACTATAAATAAACAAAATATATATATTTCATTTCGAAACATTTATAATAAATTTAACATGTTTTTCCAAATCATGGTGATATTTACTATTTACAAACTTTCTTTTATTTCCATAATTTGCTGATATATTTTTTATATTTCAACAGCTTTGACTTTCAATGTAGAAGCTAACGTTTCTACTTTAAAAATATTCCATGTAGACATATCATGTGTTGTTAACTTCATTTTATTTATTTTCAATGATTGATGAATTCATAGATTGTTATTATTAGCGAAAAATAAAAAGATGCCCAAAAATCAATAATTAGCATATATTTGACATGTTTTTAGTTTAGAAATAAATTGACTGTTAACAATAAAAAAATATTTCTCAGTTGGATATTAGTGTTATTCTTTCCATCTAGAAGTTAGTTTTTTAAAAATTCTCATGTTCAATTAGCAATAAGTATTAGTATATTTTAATAGTAAATAAACTTTGATATGTTATTATTTGATGGTAATCATTTCGAGCTCGTAAACTTGAACAAGAATTTCTTATCCAATTTCACATAGAAAATAAAATTCCGAAATTTTCGCCCCATTTATATTTAAAGATTCTTATGATTCTTTTATTAAAAAAAAAGAAGTTTAAGTATAACAAAGAAAAAATAATTCGCACTTTTCGTTAATTATAACCATACAAAAATCATATCTTCATCTATTGTATTAGGAACTCCAGTCCGAAAGAAACGAGTATATGATTTTTATAAATCACGCAATCTTATATTATAAAGTTTCCCATGTTTATAACAACCAGTAATAGTAAGAAAACTTAATTTTGATAGACCATTGATAAATATATATGATACTTCAATGAGTTTATCGTCATAACCATTCAGTTTTATAATTTTCAAATCAGGTAGTCGATCGACAATCAAATAGGCTATGTCTAACAAATTTGACTGTTCCCAAATAGTAAAAAGATTGAGTTGTCGTAATCCATTTGACATAAGCATGTTGCACAAAGAAGTATCGTTAAGGAGATCAATGAAAATATTTTCGTTCAAATTGTTGTCATCATATTTTGATGTATAATGCAATTCAAAAGTACGAAGATTAATTAGTTTCGAAAAAAGAAGATGAAGGTGATTTGAATTGAATGGCTGACTAATATCAAGCGATGTTATTTGATTCCAATGTACGAGAGGTGGAGAGAAATAAAGAAATTCATCATTGATTTCATCACTACACGCCCTCATTATAATCTCATTGCAGGAAAACGATTGAATATTGACATGACGTCTATTATATGAATATCGACTTCGTCTAAATTAAAAAAAAACAACTGTCTATTTATACCCATGAACAGTATTTTGACGTAGATAACAGTAGACAGATAAATATTTATCCATTCTTGGTATTGTTACAGCCCTAATAGAATACATATCTTCTTCTAAACGAAGTTGTAATTCAATTGGAATTGGTGATTTCAGCTGTTGAAACGTCTCGGATAAGATTTTACTTGTTTGTCTTAATGACACAACAGTTGTCACAGACCAATCAACATCAAACGAATATAAACATTGGCTTGCAAGCATTGATAGCAAATTGTTAAGAACATCTAGGCCAAACATCCTCGCTATTAATTTGAACTTCGTCAATGAAAATAAAACATCACGATCAAACAATTTATTAACTGATTCAACATTAATCACAACACCAAACCAATTTATTTTTAGTCGACGTAGATTTGAAGCAAGACGTTTATTAATAGTAGTTATTTGACTAAAAATCGATTAATAAGACCATTATAAATCACTTATACTATTTAACTTGTTAATGAAACACAATTTATCTTTAGTTTCTCTAGATTGGATTGTACGTCAGTGTTCAAAAGATTCAATGGACAAACCTGTTCGACATACAAAGAAGCAGCACAAGTTAGAGGTTTAATTAAAGATTTCCAATGAGTGGCATAATTGTATGTATGAAGCATCAAGTTATATGATGCCTAAATCTTTAGGATCATCATTAGTTACAATTATTTATCGTTGTAATCCTGCAAATCCTTTGCAACTTTTCAAAGATTTCAAAGAAAATATGATTGAAGATTTTATTCAACAAGGAAACCGTGTAAAAAAATCTCTAAAATTATGCGTTTATGATATAAGAATGCAAATTCAACAAGATGGTTTCGATTTTAATCAATTTTTACCATTCCCCAATTTCGAAGATATTTCACATTGCGAAGATGATTTAGTTAATTGCACTGTTAATAGTAATAATTTATTATGGAATGATCTTAATAGTGTTCAACTTTTAGCTGCGGATACTATTTTAAAATCGATAGTCGGTTTGAACTCGCAGAAATGTTTTCCGATAGAATTTCTAAATACTTTGAATCGATCTGGATTATCATCGTATAAATTAAATTTAAAAATCGCTTGTATAGTAATGTTTTTGAGAAATCTGTCGGTAAACAAAGGACTATGCAATGGAATTAGAATAATTGTTAGAGCCTTTCATCAAAACGTACTTCAATTGGAAATTATTACTGATGCATTTTTTGGGACTGTTCATTTTATTCCTAGAATTTCTCTGGATACATCGAATGATCCAGCACTTCCATTCAATTTCGTTAGACATCAGTTTCCAGTTCGGCTTGCATATGCGATGACAATAAATAAGTCTCAAGGTCACACTTTTGATAAAGTTGGCCTCTATCTTCCAGAACCATGCTTTTCTCACGGTCAATTTTATACAGAATCTTCAAGAGCAACGGAATCTAATGGTTTAAAAATTCAAGTAAAAGATACCACTAGACAGAGCAAAACGGATAATGGGAAAACAGAAACAGATAATGCTGTTTATCGGGAAATTTTTTTGTGATTTCTGTATATTTGCTTTTGGAAGTTTATAACTTTAGGCATTTTTTTTTTATATTTAATAAATCAAATACTAATCCAATTTTTTTATTAAATCAATTTTTCTTACAATATTAAAGTCTGACTCTTCCCAGAGGCCTCTAGTTCCGATGGAATTTGGAAAATAAAATGTTCAATAATATTGTCCAGAATCCGTTTTACCATTATTTTACATTCCTTTTTCTCAGTGTAGATTGAATTTCAAAATGCGAAGACAAGGCATGGAATTAAACAAAAACAAAAGGAACAAGCGACAATTTTTGACAGTGTAGGTGAACTGAATAGTGTCCTGCAACCAAGGGGGAAAACACGTACTCCCGTACTCCGAGTACTACCGGAGTCCAGGAAGTACAATGGGAGTACAGCGGACGTAATAATGTATTCCAAATATATCTTGGAAAAACATTTCAATACTGTTTTTTCTTCTTGTTTTGATTTATAGTCGACGTGAAATGATATTTTGTTCAGTAGGTAATGCGTCCAGGGTTATGTGTAGTAGACCAGACGTTGCACTCCTTGTTTGTCTTTTTTACAGTTGACTGTTTAGACGAACGATAGGAAGGAAAGGAAAAATACCTGTTAAATAGGCACACACCGAGCCGAGCTTCTCGGATTCGGTCATTCTTCTGTGCGATCGTTCCCAGGTTCGGTCATTCCCAGTATCAGGATTCCGGAATCCGGTCATTCATGTAGTTCCAATGCTTGAAGACAATATGAAAATCATGCCTCAAACTTTTGTACAGTGACATAGGGAAGTGTTAGTATTTTTTTTAGGGCTACTCAGCGGAAAACTTTACCGACTGGATCTAATTAAAATTTCAAAACTCTATGATCATAATCAGAATTATCAATTTCGATTACTCTGCATGCAAAATGAAATTAAAACCGATGAAAAACAAAAATTTTCGATCGATTATAATTGCAATTATAATCGATCGAAAATTTCTGATTTTATTCGATTTAGATAAAAATTCGAGTTTAATCTAATTCATCGCCATCGTCTCTTACATAAGTATTCTTTGATATCGTATCTCAAACCGTGCTACACGTGTCAAAAGTTATTATTGTACTCGACATTTGTTGAGTTGAGGAATCTGAGAAAAACGATCAAAATGTTGAATATCTGACCAATAATTCCAAAAGAAACATCTTTACGGTCGTCGGGATTAAAATCGATTAAAAATTAAATAATATAATTGGAATTACGTCAAAACAGTGGTATTTTAATCGATGTTTACTCAAGAGAAATATAATGACAAGTAAGGGCTTTCGCTTTTTTTTACGTGCGAATAACTTTTATTTGAAATCATATACAATTGATTTAACTGAAATTATGAACCATACTTAATTGAGAATCTCTTAATCAAGTTTTATGAGATGGAGTTTTAATCGATGTTGAAAATAACAATCGGTTGCAAACGTAAACCTGGTCTTAAACGAACATAATCAATTATAACCGATTGTGAATCTCACAACAAAATTGTGTAATTTAATTTTTAATCGATTTTGAAAGTTATAATCGATTCCAAAGATAAATTTGAGTATAAATCAGGGAATCGATTATAATATTCAAAAAGGGATTATCTCTTCAAGTGTTTGTCGAATTAAAACCGATTTTAATCGAATTATTTGTGAAAACAGAGATTTGCTAGCAAACAAATCGAGAAAGTTTATCTGTAGTTCAAAATAATCGTGATTTTTGCATGAAATTTTTTCGCTAGGTATTTGGGGTTACTCTTAGTAACGTTTCGATGGCTATCTCCAGGTAGTACTAACAAATTTCTTGAGGAATGTTTGACGCCGGCAGCTCGATCTTTTGACAGAGTACGTCGAGATAATATCTGACTATCGAAGGTTTGGGTAGACGAAGTGACGAATGGCGGGGGACGGGGAAGGTTTTCAAGATTTTTCAAAACGTTCATTCATATGATTACTAGTATACACCGAGTTTTTTCAATTATTTTCGGTTTGCACACCAGTTTTGGTCTAGATTGCATTGTTCTCTGGCAAACAGTGCAATTTTTCGAGCTTTTCCAGACTCATGCTATATGTTAATAATGTGTTTATGATGAATGATAGTGATAGTTTAGTTTAGGTTGAATTCGTTGTCTTTAGGGATAGTCCATGATTTTGAAGCATGGATGCTAACTCGAGAATAACTTCTACATTTGGCTTAACTAAAACAGCTGTCAACTCTCTGCAAACAGCATGGTAGTGCTTTCTTGCCTAGCTAAGTAGATCTTGGGGCATTGAATAGTAGGTCTCTGGTCGGAAAATTCTGTTAATCATTGCAAAGGACATCTTCAATATTTGTAGATCGGATGATTAGTTGGGCTTCAAAGTGACATATCTCACCGCGTGTAGCTCTGAAAATGTTACAAAGATCATACCCAGATAGCCATCAAAAGGTTACTTTCACTAACCCTAGATAGTTCTTCCCAACTCATTATTACAACTCCCAGTTAGCCATCAAAACGTTTCTTGCAATACCCCCAAGTAGTCCTTAAAAAGTTGCTGATACTACCCCAAGATAACCCAAAAACTGTTATCAGCACTAACTTAGCATAATCCTGAAGAAGTTATTGACAGTACCCTCAGATAGCTGTCGAAAAGTAATTAATACTACACCTAGATAAACCTCAAAAAGTTACGAAGAGTACCTTCAGAAAGTCCCCAAAAAGTTACTGATATTATCTCCAGATAGCTATCAGAAAGTTACTAGGATTACATTAAGATAGCCCTAAAAAAATACTAATACCGTCTCCTAGATAGCTGTGCAAAAGTTTTACGTGTAATTTTCATATTGCCTTCAAAATTTGAAATTATTTGAATGAACAAATTCGAGAAACTCGGAGTTGGTGCATGCCTATACATGCTCTAGACATAATTGTAGATTCTCTACTGTTACACTCATATGGCAACTCTACCATTTTATTATTAAAAAGGATTATGAATTGTATAAAGGAGACACTTAATTTTTTTCGATGAAAACGTGCATCACAAGAAAACTGTAATATACAAAGTCAGTAATGAATACACATATCATACGATACCATATATAAAAATTGTATCTCTTGAACTCCCTGTACTCCCGGAGTCCAGGGAGTACGTGATTTCCCCCTTGCCTGCAACTGAGTTGGATAACCAGCACCTGATCCGGTAATATATAAGATCCCGACATTTCAAAATACTTTCACGCTTTCACACTGTCGTATATGTAAAAACATAGAAATGAAAACTGGTTCCATCATGATTGAGCAATTTATTGTACTTAAGAACATGTCACAAAAGTGAAAAGCGATATTGTTTTACTATGAAAATTGATCTACATATGACGAAGTAAATGAATCTATGAAGAGAAAAATAAATTATTAAAAAGGTAAAAATATATCATCGTGATGGAGAAAGCATTCATATATATGTTTACAATTATGATGTTTAGCATCAAGACTAAGTTTCATATCAGCGTTATCATCAATAAGCAAATGTATACTTAGCGACATTGCTCGGATTTTAGAAGCAGAAAGACACCAAGTGAAGTCTGAATCACTAGCTTTTTTGTGAAACTTGAGATAATTTCTTCTTTTTGTTGCTGTCTATGGATAAAACTAAATAGTTTATTTTTCCATATAAAGTAAAGGCTTGAAAACTGTACTATAATTGTGGAAATATCTACATTTACATCTTCAAAACGTTTGTACCGGATGCTGCATAAAGCATTTAAAAATAATCCCCTGATCACGTCATCATGACAGATCTCAGAAAAATGATCAATAGTGACAAACGGAGGACGGAGTCTAAAAATCAAGAAAAAGTAATAATGTAATATGTTAATGACTTCTGTAATTGAAATATTCATATTATGCTAATGGTTTTGAATGTATTCATAATCCCAATAATATTGTACTATTTGATTCGGCTCCAATTCCGTACATGTCTAATAATACTCGATATTTATAATAAAGGGTAATTTAGAAGTTCTATCTCAATCTGTTCAATATAAACTATAATTTTATTCCAATGAAACATTTTTTTTCTGCAATCATAAAGTGTTGAAAATTTCATAAACTTCAAATAAAAAAATCATTGAGATATAATCGGATTCTTTTTTCTTTATTCTTCTTTTGTTATTTTATAAGATGTTTGTTTTTTTTTCTTTCGCATGAATAAAAAAAGCAAAAAAATTGTTTATTTGAGTTTCTTCTTTGGTCGTAAATTACTGGTATGACCACATTTACGTTTACGACAATTAACAGCACGAGGATGAAGTCGTGCATAACATCTAAATAACAACAAAATGAATAATTATTTTTCATAACTTCTTTGTTTTTTTTTTATTCATACTTTCGGCATATGACTTTATCACAATTATATTTTTGTGCAAGCATACGAAGTGTTGGTTCAATTGTACCACCACGAAGTCCTTTAAAAAAAACAAGAAATTGATATGAATAAAAATATATATATATATATTGACTTACGTAAAACCAAATGAAGTGTACTTTCTTTTTGAATATTATAATCCGAAAGTGTACGGCCATCTTAAAATAAAATTCTTGGTTTTATTTGTTTTGTTTTCATTAAATTCAAATTTACCTTCAAGTTGTTTGCCAGCAAAAATTAAACGTTGTTGATCTGGCGGAATACCTTCTTTATCTTGAATTTTAGCTTTTACATTTTCAATTGTATCCGATGGTTCGACCTAAAAAAATTATTTCATAATGTTTGATATATACAACATTTAATAAAAACATACTTCGAGAGTAATAGTTTTACCCGTAAGAGTCTAAAATAAATAATGAATATTTATTTTTTTGTTTTAAATTTAAAATTAAATTCTACCTTAACAAAGATCTGCATGGTAAATATTAATAAATATCTATAAAAGAAAAAAAGATTCAATGAAATTAAGCAATTCTTGTTGGCAAATGATCAGCATTATTATTAAACCGAACCGACTATGCC